CGCGCCCCGCACCTCCAATACTATTTCAACTTTTTGATCTTATTTAAGAGAATTAAAACCCCAAGCGTTTACTTTCCTGCCTTCCGGCCCCTGCTCTGCACCGGGTGGCAGGGGTGCCGGGTGGCAGGGGTGCCAGGCGGCAGGGGTGCCAGGCGGGGCCGCCCACTCCTGCCCCCTGCTGGGCCGCAGATGCCCGTGCCCGCAGGTCCGACCTTGTGTGGTGGCGGGTGGCCGTTAGTGACGAGGCACGTTCCCGTGGCCTTCCGGTGCCTCGTGGGCCGAGGGCCACCGTGCGAATCTGTTGTCCACCTCCGGAAAGCACCATTTACCTGGCCTGTCCCCTGAGACGCGGGGACGTCCTCATCACGTGGCGCCCCCGTCACCACTTGCAAACGTTCCCTTTACCCCTCAGCTGCCCGCGCTGGCCGGGGGCCCTCGGAACTGCTGCTGTTGGCGGACGCACGGGGTGCAGCTCTGCGCTGGCGCCTGGCCGAGGCGGGGCCGGCTTCTCGGGCGCACAGCGCCCTGCCAGAGCCGCCCGCTGCCCCGGGGACAGGCCTTTGCCGCGAGCTCCGTCGGGCGCCGTTGCTTCGTGCAGACAGCAGGTAGTGCGTGCGCACTGGCCCCGGCGGTCACTTGGGCTGGGCCTGTGGGGCTCTCCGCGCCTCGAGAGCATGGCCGGGAGAGGGCCCCGCGGGTGGCTCCGGAAGGCGCCCAGAGGCGCGCAAGAAGCAAGCAGCCACCGCCTTGTTCTCAACGTGTTTAATAGGTGACGGGAGCAGAGACAGTAGTTTGGTTTGGGGGTACATTTTTGGAATGTTGGCCATCAGGGAGCGCTGCCTTGACCTCACTCTTCTGACTCAAGGTTGGGGCTTGTCTGAACTTTGAGAAGCCTAATTCTGTGGGCCGTGGGGCCCTTCTGCCACGGACTGGAGGGGACACGTAGCGGCTGAGCAGAGGGGCAGCGACAGCGCTGGCCGGCCGAGGGGCGGGCGGAGGCCACTCTCCGTGTGACAGTGTCAGCACTTTCACATAAGTTATACATTCATCGTGGTGTCTGAAACAGTCACGCCTAAATAAAGTCTTCCTGCCACCAGAGACGAGACGCCTGCTCGGGCGCGAGGTGTGCCCTGCGGCCCGCGGGCGGGGCCACACACGTCCGGGTGGTTTGCTTCTCGGGCCTCCTCTAAGTCTGGGGCCTTTTATACAAAAATAAGACTAATTTAAAACCTCCCCAAACGAGGGTTTGGATGTAGAAAATCGATGACGGCGTGGGACGAGCACGCACCAGGCTGGCGCTCAGAGGCCAAAGGCAGGTGTCGGGGGCCCGACGCCCTGGCCGGGGAGCCCGCCGGCCAGGGCCCGCGCAGCGTAGCACCATCTCGGGCTCCCGGGGCTGCAGGGCGCAGCCCCCCGGCTCCATCTGATGCTGCCCTCACCCTGGGGCAGGTGGGTGTGGAGAGGCGGGGAAAGGCACCGGAACTAAGGCGTCCTTGGAAATGATGAGGTTTCTGTCCTGTTTCTCTTTCACATGACTTCACTTTAATGTAACTTCAAGCCCAACACTCTGGGAGGTAAACAGTCCTGGGTGGGGGGGCAGGAGCGAGGCAGGAGAAGCCCCTGGGGAGGAGGGGTCCGTGGGCACCCCAACTCTAAAGCAGGGTCTTGGAGGTGAGAGCCCTGAGCAGCGGGAAGACGAACGACTTCAAGTTCTAGGAGGAAGGTACCGTGAGTATGCGCGGCGGCCTCTGCGGCGGGGCGGCCCCACCAGGCCGGCCTGCCAGGCCAGTTTCCCTGCAGAGGGGCCCGGCGGCTGTGGTCAGGGTCACGGAGGAGGCTGAGGCCGGAACTTGGACCCCAGCCCTGACCTTTCCCAAACACTGCTCCAGGGCCGCCGGGCATGGAGCCGAGTCTGGCGGCTCCTCCCCACGGGCCTCCAGGGGTGCCGGTCCTCCAGGGGTGCCGCGAGGCCACACCACCGCCAGTGCCAGGTCGCCTCCACGGGGTCTCCCCAGGCGCCCCGCCCCCGCCCGGGCCCATCTAAAG